TCAGGGTGGTGCCTTGAAGCTGCGGTGCCGGCTACAAAAATGGTACTATAGAACCTGCCTGCGAGCACTTCTGCCCTGCTAATGTTGTTTCATTTTATGCAGATATTGATATATACATTTGATAAGTCCAATTAGCTAACTCCGTTAACTTAGTTAGGGTATGTGGACTTATAAGACATGCTATGTTGTACTTACTATATCATGTAAGTTCCATATCTACTTAATAAACTATATATGTGCATACTAACCCACACGCCCAGCCAAGCATGAGGCATCCGTACTGCCGCTTGGCGCGTCCGTTCATATCGGGTGGGTTGTTCGCCACCTTGCCCGGCATGAAGACGGGTACATCACCGCCCCATGCCAAGAAGCCTGCTTGGAGCTCTTTGGCGGCCGCGCCTTCGCCGCCAACCTCGACCGCGCGTCTGATGCCTTCCGCCAAGCGCCCCCGCCCGAGCTTGAGGACCTGGTGGGAGGGGCGCCCGCCGAGGCAGCCCCGACCAGAGACCCTCTGCCAACAGGGCGCCCAACTACCCACCCTCCCCACGCAGATGACGGCCCGCCATGCGCCCAGCCGCCAGATGCCCGTCCCGATCCCAAACGACGCCCTTACCCGAGCCATCCCGTCGAGAACCAGCGGAAGAGGACGACCTCTTGGCGGCACTAGCCAGCCGCGCCCGAGCCGCTCCCACATCCAGGGGGACAAAGGCGCGGGCGCGGGCGTGGCCGAAACCCCGCCGCTCTTGCCCTCCGACCCTCCACCCCTCCCCGCAGAACCCCGAACCCGCTCAGCTCCGAACACGCAGCGGGAAGCGGGCATGCGCCTCGGCTTTGCTTCGCTCGACGCCGTCTGCCTGCAGGGCGAGTGCCGTCGACGCGCCCTGACGCTGCAGTCGGCCCCTGCGCGTGTCCGAGGCGCCTGCGCACAGCCTTTCGCGCAGGCCGAGGCCCACACCCGCGCTGACGCTGTACCTGGCAGCGCAGTCAGTGCGGCTGCCAGACGCAAGCACCACGGCACCTACCCTGAGCTCGGCCATGTTTCGAGGTGCCGCCTCGTTGTTTTCGGCACCGAAGTTGGCGGCAGGTTCGGCACCGAAGCGGTGCAGTTCCTGCGCCTTTTAGCGCAGCATCCGGCTGCCGCAGTTCCCAGATCGCTGCGCCCTGCCGCCACCGCGGCCTGGGTCGCGCGATGGTCCGGCCTCCTAGCCGTCGCCGCGCAGCGCGCCTTCGCAGCCTCCCTGCTCGAGTTGCCTCCTGCCGCCGAGCTCGGCGACGGACCGGGGCCGGAGCTACATGAGCTTCTCTCGGAGGCGCGCTAGGCAGCGCTCCGCACGTAGCACGCAGGTTGCACGGGGACCCACCGTAAACGACCGCACCGCTGCAGTTCGCATCGGGTCATGTGTTTCTGACGTTTGGGATGTCGATTGTGGTGTAGGACAAGGGGCTGTTTTGAGTGTTTTCTTTTCAATGTGCTTATCAATGGGCTAGCAGCCGCAACCAAGCGGGCTTGCCGGGGTATCGCGTGCGGCTCTGAGCATGTTGCACCTCTCGCGTCCAAGTCTTGCTGTATGCAGATGATATTGTCATTCTCAGTGACAACGCGGACGACCTGCAAAGAGCACTGGATGCAGCATATGCATGGGCTAATGCTTGGAGATTCCACTTTGGTATGGGTCCCAAAAGCCACATCAGCTTTTGTAGTTTTCGGTCGCAATCGTGCCGGTGTTCACCGTTTCCGCTTCCATGTCGGTGAACACGTCCTCCCTCGTGTCAGTACGTACACGTAAATCGGGGTCACTCTTCATGAGCGCTTGGTGTGGACGCACCATATCAATGAGCTGCTGTACCGCGGTGAGCGCAAGCTGGCGGCATGTGTTTCGTGGACCAGTTCAACTTCACTGCCACTCCACTTTGTCGAACGCATTTTCCAATCGTATGTGCGACCGTCAGCTTGTTTCCGGTTGGAGTTCGTACCGCAAGGTCCCCAAATCCGGCTTTTTCAAACTCGCCTGTGCAAGTGGGGTCGGCGTTTGTTCGCTTGGCCGAGTGGTAGCCCTCGCGTCGCTGTCCAGGGCCAGCTCGGTTGGCATGATGCTGACACTCTGCGTCTCTCTCAAGCGGCGAGTCTTTGTGCGCGGTTGCTTAGTCTGCCCGCACATTGCTTTACTGCGCAGTTTGCCGAATATGCGTTGCATGTGGGTCAACTCCGTCTTGGATGAACTGTGTCGCGCCGGAGTCCCGCACCCGCAAGACTCAGGCATATTTTCGGGATGCCCAGCAGCTTCGGTAAAGTCCTGGCTCCGCATGGTTAGAGTCTCTTTGCCACACCGAGCTGACGGCCGGCATGCTTCATTGCTCCGAGAACGCAGGTCTTTCCAGCAGTATGCCACTTGGCAGCCCAGGCCTCGTTTGCACCATGTCGTGTACGGACCCTCTATCACAGCGTATCGGGCACGATACTGGGGGTTGGCACGTTGCGGCCATCACCCATTTGCTGATGGCCGCGCAGCCAGACATCGTGTACCGAGCATTGCATGGACCAAAACAGTCCCTGCCGATTCCGTGCCTGTGGCGTTGACTCTTTTGCGCATGCTGTGCTTGAGAGCCATGCGCACAATATCTTGCGACAAAGGTGGGCCAACCGGTCCCGGCATGCACTATCTTTGCATGTGTTGTTCTCAACAGATGAAGATGTCAACACGGCCCGTGACATCAAAAACAACATTGACTTCGTTGCTGATGTGTGCATTGCAGCCGAAGCTTGTGAGATATGAGTTTTTCCCTTTTGAGCGTGGCTGAATGAACAGGCTTGTACACACCACTGACGCAATTCTTTGCGCATTGATGGTTCCTGGCTTGGTTTGTGTTTGGTGTTGGTTTGGTTTTTGTTTTTGGTTGTTTTTGGTTTGTTGGTGGTGTGAGGCAGCGAACCGTCATGCTTGTAGTAGTTGCTCTCTGACCGTGGCCCACGGTCGTTTCCGGCCACGCCTCTCTTACTCCCGGACTTGCAATGTGCCTCGCTCATTCTTGCCATGTGTATGTGTGCTGCCCCGCGTGCAAATCACTTGCTGGGCACGCTGCCTTCCGACCTCTCAGCACCCTACGCACGCGGCCATGATGACGGAGGTTGGCAGTCCCGGCGACCAAGATCCCGATGTCGCTGCCGCTTCGACACCTACATTATACCTCTCCCGGCACGCATCGGTGGACTGGACTCGGGCTCCAACGTGCGGAGCGTGTCGCTCCCGCGTACTGGGCTGCGTGGTCCGACGCTCTGCACGCACTGCGGCTGCGCTGTTCGGCGGCTGCTGCGTGCTGCTTGGCTGAGCTCGAAGCCGCACGCAGGCATTGCAAATTCTGGGGTGCCCACGTGGTTGAATTGAGTTGGGCTCCCTGGTTTGGAAAGGGTTCGTCTCCCTCCTAGTCTGGAATATAACTCATGTTTTCAACGATTCTTATGTCCGGCACATGCTGGAACAGCCGCGGGATCCCAGCGCCCGGTGCATTGACCGGCTGAATCCACCAGACATATTAATGTAACGCATCAGCGAAAACTTTTCAACAAATAGAAATCAAGGCCATCGCATCAGCAAGCCTTCGCGCAAGGATCTCGCGGTTTGATAGATGGCTACCCACCTTGCATCACCGCCCAGCATGAGGCCCCATGAATGGGGAGCCAGTATACCAGCAGTCAGCGAATATTGCGAAACACTAGGTGCCCACGAACGCAATCGCGGCAAAGCAAAGTTGAAAACACGAGAAGAAACCAACTTTGGTAATAAGTTGCAGGTCAAAGTTCCTTGCGGCCGTGGCGAAGGGCTTCCTGAACTCCCATCCATAATACGGCTCCGGCTTTGCACCGCTAATTAGCGACCATCGGCACGCGACGGTCCCTGGCCCATCCTGGCCCATGGGGTGAGCGACAGCTCGCCGACACGACGAACTGCATGCTTGCCTTGACGCGGCGCTGCGTCCCACATTCGGACACTCTAAACTGTTAACCCCTGGCGAATTGTCTACCATTAGCATTGGCGTATATCGGCGTGAAAAGAGCAAGCCGAGCGCGACAGTTTGAGTAGTGTTGGAGCCTTGCAGTCGTGAACCAACAAACACTGTAAATATATTTGTCCAATGTGCTTGCGAGGAACTTCGGCCTGAAGCCCAACATCGGTCTGCAAGTGAGGTGCGGGGCCCGAGGGCTGTGCCTGTTGTCCATGTTGCTGAATTGCGCAGGAAGTTGGACAGGAAGGGCAGAAAATCCGACGGCCCTGTCCTTCGCTCGTGTCAAGAGCAGGCCAGCTCGCTGACAGCTTGCGCTGCGGGGCTACTTGTATCGTGTGATTCGTTGGTTTTTGTTGGTTCTGAAGTGGGTACTTTTGCCAGACTCACTGACGTCCCGATGGTGATGCTTATTTACTTTTTGGCACGTACAGCTGGTGCATGAGCATGCCAATCTGTCACGGTGCATACCTGGCCCGGGTTTGGTCGTTGGGAAGCCGCAGCGATGAGTCAGGAAACTCAGGTGCAGTATTTTCAAGAAACTTCAACACATACATACTTGGCAGCAGTCCACGCAAGCTTTGTTGTAAGAAGGTGATTCCGAGATGTTTTTCTACCACGGAGGATTTTTTCAGAGAGAAGCGGCTTGGCAGTGTTACGAAATTCAGTGGTGACATGACACGCACCACAAGCTTGTGATGCTAGCCGAGGAAGATCCAGACAAAGTTGGAACCCTGGAAGATTCCAGCTGGGATGTCGCCTGAAGAGGTCTCAAAGACGGGGCACTCAAGGGTGCGTGGTCGTCACTCCGGGACGGCTCAGGCAACTAAGCAGCTCACCGAGTTGATCGAGTCGTATCCAGCTGGCCACGATGGCTACTTTTACAGCAGAAAGGCGCAAAGAAGGAACATCATGTTCGTCGTAGTGGCTTGTTGTCGTGGATGTGTGCAATGCCCTTTGTCTAAGGAGTTGATGCTGGTGGATTCCGACTTCTGCAAACTCTTCCGACTTACTTGTATGGGCACCTCGGCTTGCATACGCTTGAGCGATGTGTTTCTCATCTATGTGCTGATGTTTGTGAATCTGTCGAGCTCATCCGAAGTGTATTTGAAGTGTTCGGTTTGGTCATCCAAGGCAATTCGCGAGCTTTATTGGTCCCTTGGAATTCATTACGGGCATGCAGTGGTTAAGCTTTCGTCCTGGTTCTGTGTATTCGAGGATTGATATCTGACGTTGAATTTGCTGTGATGGAGAACGGCGATGTCCAAGTACGCTCCGCCTTGCGTTCCATGGCGCCAGACGCGTGCCTCGACATGGTCAGAAAGTTTGGCTTGGCACAGTGAACCGGGGAAGCCTGTCGATTGACCAGGTTCGGCAACGTACAAACTCCACCAGACAGCCTGCTGAATGCCAAGCGGCTGAACTGGCTCTCAGAGCGATTGCGGAAGGCTATTCGGGCGTTTGATTCATGTGTTGTGCAAGTGATCGCTGTTGTGCACTGCAGATGGGCTGGGCCGCGCCAGAAATCACAGAGCAGACGCACCCCGAGTATTTCGCCGAGAACATCAAGGCGTGCTACCGTTTTTCCAGGGCGACTAGGTTAATTATCGAAAACGAAGAACAGCATCCTCAGTTGGAAAAGTTTCCCCTTGCCCCTGCATTGCACAATGCAGGCTGGCCTCAAGACGGTTGGATTGGAGTTCATGCCCGAGCGGGAGGAGGCTTGCAGGGTTTATCGGTATACGGTCTTGCTTCGGCATCGTGTATCTTCGCACCTTGCAGAATGAGCGGCTTGTTGCGGCAATGTAGGAAAGTCGCCAACGGCATGGTGCGCGACATGTGCAGGATGGCAAGCCAGAGTATTGGTGAATATCCTCCGCATTGTGCAGCTTGTGGGTGCTCGCAACGACACCGCGCCGGGCAAGAAACACTGAAAAAGGGGTTGCTTCTCCATTTATCCTTCCATCTTCCAAGCTTACATACGGCGAAGTGCCTAAGTTTGTCCTTTTGACGTTGCTGATCGGCTGGTGCCTAGCACCGTTTTTTGCAGTGAGCATCTGCTGCCCACAGCAAAGCTGGAGCACATCAGGCAAGAGTTGTTTGAGGAGGAAAGCTTGGCTGGAGCCTTCTAGCGAGAGCCATGACGGCCTTGCTCTCTGCACCACGCATCGTGTCGCTGCCTCGGGAATGCGGTGCCCTGCTGACTCCGAAGCCTCCTGGAGACCTGAGGCCACTCTTGGCCGGTGGCTCTGTCGCAGTGGCGGGTGGGTGTTTGGCAGTCGCCGAACTTAGGCGTGTCGCTCTCGTTACGAGTCCTTACGAGCAAGTCGGGCTCCGACTCTCTGCGCCAGGCGGGAGCTCCCCGAGCCTTGCAAGGCCAGCAAGCCTTGCCGGGCCTTGCCAGCCTGCCTTCGTCATGCGAAAGTCTTCTTTGCGTTGGTGACATTGCATTGGTGGATTGCAGTCGCAGCCAGCATCTGGACCAGGTGGTAAAAGCTCAGCTGAGCGATCCGGCCGCCCTTTCCCTGGCCTCTTGTAGATTTGCTCCTTTGCACCCTAGTAGCTAACTGACAACCCGAGCACCCGCCGACCAACTGAGGTCCAGCAGGGTCTGGGCTTCAAGGCAGCGCCTTGGTCGGTTCGTCTTTGGCACGGCCAGGTCCCACCGCCTCTGAGCACTAATGGGGTGTGCAGGTTTGGTCTCAAAAACATCCACAAGGTCAGCTTCTTTCGGCTTGCAGGGGTGGCCCAGAAAAGTCGCAGAACAGGTTCGCAAATGCACATTCGCTTAGACATGCAGTGGCATAGTGGTTTCATAGTCTGGATACAAGCAGCGTGATGGATTAGACAGGGCAAGCAGTAACCAGTATCGGAACCTCCATGCATGGACCTGCGGCCGTCGTGAGGCGTGGAAGCCCGAATCATCGTTCCGGGTTACGCCAAGTTCTGCAGGTGCCATGGCCGGGGGCCGGCGCCAACGGTGCCCCTGGCGGCGCCCCTGCACCCTCCCTGGCACCAAGCAGCGCAGCCTCAGCCCACAGCCTCAGAAGCGCCCAAGTGGGGAGTGCCTTGGCTTCGATCCTTTGTTGTACCGGTTCCAGTTGTGGGCTTGTTCAGAACATCTGAGCCTGTGTTGGGAGGTGCTGGCTGCCGCAACTTGCGGTGGATGCATGGTCAGGAGGTCTCTCGCAAGTAAGTGTATACTTTGTTTCCTGTCATGCCCACACCGTCTCGAAACGTGCTCAGGCTGGTTTGCAGAAGCCATGTTCCAAGTGACACCTTGCTGGCCAGACCACCGGCCAGGCAGGTGTTGGGTGTTGTGAGTTTCGTTGGTTTCTTGGCAGAGTACGAGGAAATGGCTTCGACGGGCAGTCTGGTCATCTTTAGCCTTCCTCGCCGCCTTCTGCTTCCGCGAAGCACCCAGAAACTGCTGCTCAAAACTCTTCGTTCCAGATACAGAAACGGAAATCTCTCTTGAGGGCAAAAGGCAGCCGTGGCCGCAGGCAAGAGCCCGACCACGCTTCGACTGTTGTGCATGTCGTCGCTTCCAGGAGCGGCCGCCTTGACGAAAACCTGCCTCCTGAACTGGCTCAAGGCTCCGAGCCACCCCGCAAACCTTGCAAGATCCAGTCTGTCTGAGTGTGCGGAGGCCGGAAGACATTTCGTCAACTCTTCCATCGATGACTTGTGCTCTCCTCGGTCTCAGGCAAAAGCCCAGGGAAGGGAAGGAGTGTCTTCGCTTCTCTGCCCTCGAGGCTGATCCTGCTGTTTGCCACGACCCTCATTGTTCCTCTGATGAAGAAGCTCCGCACTTCGCCGTTGCCCAAACTCGAAGGTTGTGGGCGATCTGCTTGCGCCAGGGAATGCATGGTCGCCGTTGACGCACGACTTCGGTTCTCACTGGAGTCTGCAGTTAATTTCTGGCAACACTTGCTCTGGACCATACTATGGACAACTACCAAACACGCAGAGCAAGCGCTCCCAAGCAGCTCCGGGCAAGATGCACTCATCTCCGACACACTCCGAACAAGCCCTGTGTTTGTGCGCCTCGCAATGTCACTGCCGGACGACCGCAGTGGGACAGTCCGGGCGGATGATTTCTGGAGTCTTGCCATGCAAAGAAGGAAATCAGCACTACGTGTAGCAAGCAGCTGAGAACTTGAGGAAAGCCGTGGTCAAGAAAGACGTGGCTGTTCGGACGGTGGAAAGCATTCATGGCATGAATGCAGCTGAGTTGCAGACAGCGTCGGAGGTTGTCCATACTTGCCAACCCATATTGGCAGATAGACTGGAAGGGATCTTTGAGACGTTCGGCTGGAGTTGTCGTCAGAGTAGTTCTGCCAGTCCGCAGCATGAGCAGCACAACCTCGCCGCTTCCCGGAACCACACCACTGACTTAACCTCGGGCGCAGCTGTGTTCGGCTCCAGCCGCTGGGGCGGGATCGCGCCGCTCTCGGGCGCAACCCAAGGCGAGGCGAGTTCGTTGGCGTTTGCACTTTCGCTGTCACCGCCTGTCACCTGGTGCAGGTTTCGCCATGGCTGAAGCTACTTGGCTGCAGAGGGTGGTGTGTGCTTTGAGACAGCTTTCTGGTCACGGGCATGGTGGCCCCGTGCATGGCAGGCGGAAGCTACACTCAACGTGGCGGTCATCGGTGCTGGGTTCCTGGGCGCTCGCATCATCACGGAGATGTTGCTGCTGGGAAACCATGTCGTGCCGCCCCCAGTGGTGATGCCGAATTTGACGGCACAAGCGCGGAATGGTACTCATGCGAGGCCGTTTACGATGCAAACATCGCCAAGCAAAGAGACCCTCAGACTGCCTTGAACGAAACAGTGGGCGGCATTCTCCTGGAGTGTGACAGGCCCCATCCATGTGCTCTGGGAGGAAACAACATGAACTTGCTGACTTGCTGTGAGCTACGTGGCAGGCAAGGCTTGTTGGGCCTGGCGGAAATGGCATCGCCGAAAGGAGGTAAGTGGACACCCCATGCCAAGGAGCCTGCTCGGCAGGCCAAGGCCTCTCGTCTTGCACAGCAGGGGACGAAGGGAGTGGGTGCACTGTCCATGGGCGTGAATCCGAGGCTTGTCAATCCGTTGCGGAGGCAGCAACCAGGGCTCACATTGTGTTGGAAGCCGTCCCCGACAAGCTCGAGATCAAGAGCAAGGTCTTTGCAGAGGCGGTTTCAACTGCCCGCCCCGGTGCTATTCTGGCCACGAACACACTCTCCATTCCGCTGAGAAAGATTCAAGAGGCCCGGGAAGCGTGAAGCACGGCAGGGAATAGTCAGAAGGCAGCGCTTCGAAATTGCCCTTGCTCAGGCGGTGATGTCCGAGGTCACAGGATCTAGTGGAAGGGCTCTGCCCGAATCATTGAGACCGCGCGTCATGGGATTGAGACACCCGGATCACATGAATAAGAGCAGGGCTCTCCGTCTCTGTTTGCTTCAGTCTTGGCCATGTCGTTCTTGAGCATGTTTTTGAAAATGGGATCAGGATTTCTCTCGCCTGTGGTTTTCGTACCCTTCGTGGAGGTGACCCTTTCAGCCGAGCAGGCCGAGACTCTCCACGAGCCTGTGCGTGCGTTTGTGAGAATGTCGTGAGTGTGGACCCTGAGTTGCGAAGGAGAAAGGTGCGGACAAAGAAGACTTGACGGGGATGCTGCGGAAGTGGGGAAAAGCCTGCTTCATCTGCGATATCCAAGGCGCATAGCTGCCGGGGCCGAAGCTGGGTTCTTGCAAGCATCGTCCGGGCAGGTGCCGTCGATAGTGTCGACCAGGATAGGATCGACTTCATCCGCGTGGCCCGCGAGCGACTCCGCCTGGACACCTCGACCGCACAGCGACGCCAGATCGCGGAAGCGAAGCTTCGAGCAGCTATCCGCTTGGGGCCCGAGGCCGGGAGAGTCGGCCAAAACTTAGGCAGAGCACACTGGGATCATGTCAGGTTGTCCACCGAACAACCTCTTCCGAGCTTTTCACGGAGAGCAAGTGCTGCATCTGCCTCGACGCAGAACCTACTGTGCCTTCAATGCTTTGTGGTCATGTCGCTTTGTGCGAAGACTGTGCGGGTGTTGTTGAAAGCGGCACGAAGCAATGCCCAATGTGCCGTGAGCGGTTTGTACGTCGGATGCACAGATAGCCTGGCCTCAGGCCTTAGGCCTGTTCCAAGGGAGACTGGAGAGCGCTGCGGTCTTTTTTCCCGACGGACTGGCAGCTTCCGGTTCCAGTCTTCCTTCGTCGAAGGCTAGCAGAGTTTCACCAAAGACTCGATTCTTGCTCTTTTTTGTTAATCAAGAGCTGCTTTACAGAGCCAGACGCCCATCATAGTTAACTGGCCACCAGACTCTCAAAACATCGAGTCTCAAATTGTTAACGACCGGTACTCCAGGATCACGAGGATCGCGAGGGTTCGGTGTTAGTGGAGGCCTCTCCGAGTGACCGGGCTCGGACTTCTGAAGTTCGTGTTGTGCAGAAATGCTGTGCGCTGCCCTGGAGTTTATGACAGATCCCCTGCTTTGTTATTATTGCCAGCGCTGTTGTCGTTGTTGCTGTTTCGTTTGCTGTTTGCATTGCTCATTGCTGTCGTTGCTGCTGCCGGTGCTGTTGCGGGTTGGCGTTGTTTGTTGTTGTCTGTTCTTGTTGGTTGTTGGTTGTTGCTTGTTGCTTGTTTCGTGTTGTGGCTGTTGTTGGTTGTGGTTGTTGTTGGTGGTTGGTTACTGCTTGTTGTTCGTTGGTTGTGATCGGCTGTGGTTGTCGTTGGTGGTTGTTGGTTGTTGTCGGTTGTTGGTTGTGGTTGTTTTCGTTGGCTGTTGGTTGTTGCTTGGTGGCTGTTGGTTGTTAGTTGTTGGCTGTTGGTTGTTGACTGTTGGA